ATTTTCATACAATAAAGTCATTATGCATAAAGCTGGATGATTAGCACCACACTTAGGGCCTCTTAATTCATATGAGCCCGGTCAACTAGGCTGGCTCGGTTTCCGAGATCTCGCCCCGCCACTCTTTCCTTCGTAAAAATTTCGATGTGTTCAAATGAGAAGCCGGGCTGGTCCGAGATCTGCGACCGAGATCTCGGTAACCGGGATGAAAATTTTCCCATATGAACACCCCAGCCCAGGTAGCCGGGATGAAACTTTTTGGACAAAATACTAGTATAGCCCTAGCCCTAGTTGTTCGAAAGGTGGATAACGCTATCCACCTTTCAAACAACCCGGGCTTTAGCTTGCAAACTTGAGCGCCAAATCTGTCTAATTCGGGCCAAAGAATGATAAACGTCGATTTTTCATTTCTGACAGATCGATAGACTAGAATGTATCTCTTTGTGAGAAAACTGGGCGGGCATTTGTTTTCCTTCTATGAAACAAATTACTGTTTTATACCAAGATGTCAACTTGTAGGTGGAAACGCAGTCAAATCTGGGAGAGAAATATAAAGTGTCTTAACCTACCTTAAATATGATTAACGAGTTATTACAGTGGCTGGGAGGTCCGCATAGTCAAAAACTGTGACCGAGGTCTTGAAAATGCTGCTGGCAGTATTTTCAAGTCCGAAATCACAGTTTTTCACTATACGGACCGACACTATTTTTATTATAAGCAGGCAAATAACATCACATCTAGAGGCAAATAACGGCACTTTTTTTATTAGCTATATCATCTCCTGACTACATTTACTCAATATTTAGGCAAATAACATGTTTATTTTTTCCTGTGGTAAATTGGCTTTCAAATGGGTTTGTTTGTTCGAATCAGCTTCCGCACCGTCTACAAGCCATTCGTAAAAAATCGTCGTAACGAGTGAGTAACTCAGATACTAGAAAAATAATTAAAAGATGTATTAAGGAACAGTTGTAGAAAATATTCCTTTTCATAAAGGAAATGAATCAGTCTGTGATGGTGATTCAGGGGACTCTTTTCACAAATAATTACAAATATAGCCGAGTTTTCGAGTTCACTTTTGTTGAAACTGATCTATATTTGTTGTCATCATTTTCTGACCCGGCGTAAACAGCCGTTGCTATGGCCGTTGTAATAATAAAAAATTATACCCGG